ATTCACTCGCCTGGGACAAACTGACCCCTCACACAGACTTACTAGTTATCAGCAGGTCTCCTTTCAGTGGAATATTGTTAGAAGTTCCTCAGCAGGTCCCATGCAAGTGTATTTATGTGTCTCTCTGATCCCGTTACTGCGGAGGTATAGAAAATGCTGCCTGCTCGCAGGCCGCCATGTTGGATCTCCTCATTTCTTGAGGTATTACTTGCCTAGAAAATCCTAAAGACAACAGTGGAAACCTGTGTCTATAGACACTTGTTCAGAGAGGATGTAAAATGCACTTCATTTTTAGGTGTACAAGAACTTCTATGTGTCTTGCAAAGACTCTTATGTTCTCTGTAGTGTTCGGTTTTCCATGACCTTTCTTTTGGTATAAAAGCTCCCAAGTAGACCCTGTGGGTCAGCAAGGTAAGGGCTGGAATGACTTGTAAAGAACCCATAGCTGAAAGGTGGCAGGGTTCCAGATTCCTATTTTTCTTGGTTATTGAATTACACTGCTGAGACCAGAGGTGGTAGATCTCTGTCCAGGTTCCTACTGGTCACTGAGAGTCTATAAGCCTGTGATCTGAGTTCCAAGGACCATGGCGAACAACAGGGAGTAAGGGAAGAAGTCTTTGCATGTGATCCAATACTATGAACTTCCTTTAAATTATTGAAATACCTTTCATTTTTGTAAAGAAGTTTGTGATTAGAACACTCTCACAGTTTTTGCTTTGGATCTTCGTAGTAGCCCCCAAGGGGGCTGGACAGGGTTAATAATACCATTCTACAGTTGAGAAAGCTGACGCACAGAATGGGAAAATAACTTGCCCAAGACCACACAGTAAGGGCTCTCTCTGGTGGTGGTGTCCTCTCAAATTCTCAGGCTCCAGAGATGAAATCTCTTTGAAGAGTTGGAAATTTCAGACTGTTTTTTGTACCAATGTTTTCCAGCTTTCAATGAAGTGGGAGGGTATGAAGCCTTCATGGGAAAGTACATGAAAGCCATTCCAACCTTAATTTCTGATGGAAACACCACCATCAAGGAAGAATGCTACACCCCATGGGAAGACTCCTTCCACATCTTCTGAGATCCCCTGAAGGGAGACCTTCCATGGCCTGGGCTCATCTTTGGGCTGGCCATCCTCGCCTTGTGGTACTGGTGCACAGATCAGGTACTCAAGCTGGATATGCAGGTGTACAGATTTTCCCCAGGGCACTGAAGAGATTTTTSCCTACCTGTGGCTTGTGGGGCTGGGAAACATAGGGGAGGCCTCACATGGTCTTGAGTGGCTGAGCCCTTATGAAATGAGAGTCTCAGGCCAAGAAGCTGGGATAACTGTAAGGTGTCATGGGAATTCTGGGCTGCACCCCTCTCTCACTGKGCTTTCCATGGCAGGTGATTGTGCAGTGCTGCCTCTCAGCCAAGAATATGTCTCACGTGAAGGCCGGCTGTACCCTATGTGGGTACATGAAGCTGCTGCCCATGTTCCTCATGGTGATGCCAGGGATGATAAGCCGCATACTCTACACAGGTAATACCTTCTGGGAGACTCACGGACCATACTCATTTCTCTACCTCTGGTTCACTTCTAAAGTCCCTAACTTCCTGCTCCCTGTAGTCTGCCCTCTTCTGGCCATGATTACCAAGCATCATTTTCCCCTCTAATCAACAATGAGCAACTTGAGGACAAAGACATTTGGGGTTGTGTTCCCTGATTTCTTATGCTGGCAATTGTTTTCTCATTTTATTTTTCATATCTTTTAAAGTCACAACATGCATCCAACTTGCCTCTTCAATTTAATAACATGTGCTCAATTATAGCTCCCACACTCACCCCAGGCTTGTCTGTCATGAAAAAAAAAATAGAGTCGGTCTTTTATATTCATGACTTGCATGCCCATGCATTCACCCAACTATGATTTGAAAATATTCAGAAAAAAATTTTATCTCTATTGAACATGTGTAGCCTTTTTTGCCTTGCTATTATTCAACATGTTACCATAAATGTTTACACAGCATTTATATCATATTAGGTTTTATAAGTAATGTAGAGGTTATTTAAAGTATTCAGGAAAATATGCATGTGTTATGCAAATTCTATACTATGCTATATAAGGTACTTGAGCACCTGCAGGGTTTTGTATCCACTGGGTGTCARGTAGTGTCCTGGAACCAGTTCCCTCCATGGACACTGTGGGAAGGCTGTATAACTAACTGAATAGTTTATATTCTAATGAATGTTATATATACTTGTTTACAAAATAGTGCTATGGTTGAACATAGGGCATCACTAAATGAGATATTTATATAGCAAGTATTGAACAAATGTTTCTTGATCTGAATCCTATACACATTCTTGAATTCTTTCTAAGCTCTAGATTATGTTCCTTCCCCTCCAAGGCTATTTACTTTTTATCCGTAACCCAGATTTCCCATATTTTGGAAGTGGTATTCAACAATCCTGTCATTGGGGAAATTTCCTCAGTTATTTAGACATTTGACTCTACATCTAAGAGCTGTTTCAAATAAACCTAAAAATTAGGAACCACAAACCACTGTGCTTTTTCAGGAGAAAACAAGGTAATTATCACTACTGTTAGCTGAAGTGCTTCCTCCCCATCTCACCCTAAGCATAGTGCCTGGAAGACTCACAGGCCATACTCATTTCTCTACTTCTGGACCACTTCTAAAGTTCTTAACTTCCTGATCCCTCTTTTTTCCCCATCCTCCTCTACTTAAGAACCATCCTTCCTCCCCAGTCAGAGGTTGGGGGTATATCAGGACAAGAAGTATAGGAGCATGGGATGGAGATGCTCACTGCAATCTACACTCATTGTGGAACCATTTCYGGGCCCTGGGCATAAATGTTATATTTGATACCTTGTTTTAAGAAGGTGAATTTTAGAAGTATTCCCCCAATGTGTGTTTGCTGAYATGATTCTTTGTCTCTCCCCAGAAAAAATTGCCTGTGTCTTTTCAGAATGTAAAAAATATTGTGGCACCCCAGTTGGCTGCACCAACATCACTTACCCAACCTTGGTAGTGGAGCTCATGCCTGATGGTGAGTCTTTCTTGAGAGGCTGATTGGGTTTAGGCTCCCTTTAAATTCTGGGTGCCTCCTGAGCCTAAGCAGTTTCTGAATCTAGTGGGTCAGTAGGGGAAGTTTCATTGTAAGTGTTTTCAGGTTTTGCACATGTCTATAAGACATATGACTTGGTTAGGCTCTATGAGTCCTGGGACTTGTCCATCAGTCAGGCTTGGAAAAGAGATGATCTGAAAATTTATTAGGTAAACTGTGGCTCTTCCATAATAATCTAGAAAATCTTTCTAAAATCTTCAACACAGGCAATACAAACTAGTACAATCATTGTGGAAAACACTATGGAGGTTCTTGAAAAAAAATAGAACTACCATATGACCTAACAATCCCACTACTGGGTATATATATCTGAAGGAAATGAAATCGGTATGTGGAAGAAATAGAAGYACTCCCATGTTCATTTCAACATGGCTCACAACAGACAAAGTACGAAATCAATTCATGAGCTCAACACTTTAATGGATAAAGAAAAAGTGGTATATATGCACAAAGAAATACTGTTTTGCCTTAAAAGAGAAGAAAATTCTGTCATTTATGACAACTTGGATGAACTTGGAAATCATTATTTTAAGTGAAATAAGCCGGACTCAGAAAGATGAATACTGCAACATCTCATTTAAATACAGAACCTAAAAAGTTAAAATTATAGCAGCAGATAGAATGGTGGTTACCAGGGAGTGAGATAAAGGTTGGCATGGATTGGAGAAATCTTGTTAACAGGCTACAAAATTTCAGTTGGGAGGAATAAGTTCAAGAGGTCTATTGTACAGTGTGGTGACTATAGTCATTAACAATATGTGCTTGAAAATTGCTAAGAGTAGATTATCACAAAAAAAGGTAAGTATGTGAGGTCATTGATATGATAATTAGCTAGATTTAGCCATTTCACAATCTACACATATTTCAAAAATCATGGTATACATGATAAATATAAATAATTTTTCTATCCATTAAAAATAAAGTTCTCCAACAAATTAAAATGAAGGCTTAAACTAAGCCTCTGGAGTATAAGAGAATTTTACCTGGGGAATGAATTTACTTTTAAATCATTTCAAGGAATATGTTAGGAGGAAAAAGTCCAGAATTTTAGTGCTAGAAGGAAAGAGTTTGAAATCATAGATAATTTATAGATGGATAGATTTCAGTGTGGTTTCTTATCATATAGGATATGTTATCTCAAACTTCTAGAATTACAGGTGAGCCCCACCCTGCTGGGCATGGTGGTACATGCCAGTAATTCCAGCAAATCTGGAGGGAAGGCAGGAGGATCACAAGTTCAAGGCCAGCCTTAGCAATTTAGTAGGCCCCCAAGCAACTTAATGAGACCCTGTATCAATATTAAAATAATTAAAAAGAGCTGTTGATACTGGCAGGGCAGTTGTGGCTCAGCAGTAGAGCGCTGGCCTAGCATTTGTGAAGCACTGGGTTGGATCCTCAGTACCACATTAAAAAAAAAAAGATATTGTGTCCACCTATAACTAAAAAATAAATATTTTTAAAAGAGCTATTGATAAGTATTTAGGCATCCCTGAGAGTTCAATCCCCAGTACCAAAAAAAAAAGAAAGAAAAAGAAAAAAAGAATATGTTATCCCAGAAGATTGAATCCTGAATTTATAATAGCTAGAGTTTGGGGATTGACCTGTGAGATTGTAGTTCATGTTTCACGTTGGAGAAAAAAAATTTCTCTTAATTATGGCTCAAGGGCTGAAAATCTGGTTAGGTTAGGAATGTTAGCACAAAATGACCAAGCTGGGTGCAAACTTCATGGATCAGCACAGCCTTTATTCAGTGATGAAATCTTGCATCTGGTAGATCCACTTTCCTAATAGAAAATGAGTCAATGACCAAGGGGGAGTCTGTGCTTATATATGCTACACTGAACGATGACTTAATTATTGACAGAGCATGTCAGTTTGGGCACTCAGGAAACAGGTTTGGGAGAATTTGAAGTTTGTGTTTACTGGGCAATAATTTTACTTGAGGAAGAATGGAGGGCTTGGATCACTGTTCAATGCTTATCTCTTTCCCTTCACGGTCCCATGTACTCTCACTGGGAAAGGATTTATTTGGGGGAAGGATTTGGCTTCCTTCCAGAGATGTCATTCTAGGCCTGATGGAGATCTCCTTCCCTGGGATTGTCTTGTCACTGGATGATGTTTGCTTCCTTTCCAGGGAGTGTCCTATCTCTAGAAAAGGGTATATTGGGAAAGGATCAATTTTATCAGTGCATTGTCTTCTTTTTCACTCCCCCTGCCCAGTCCACACTATTTTGGAGTTTGTCATTTTCCATATCTTACAGAGAGGGTCTTAGGAAATAAAGAATTTATAAATATTAATATCTTAATATAGAATAAACTTAAAAATTTTATTATTGAAAAGAAACTTAGAGGCTACTTGGTTAATCTCTTTTTACAGTTGGGAAAACTGAGGCCTCCAGCAAGAAAATAACCTTTTCAAGGCACTCAACAACTCTGTCTTCCATCTGGCTTGCTTAACTCTGCTCAAGGCTGGAACTGAGGAATTTGGGAGGGTCCTTTTTCTTTTAAACCACAGGATTCATGCATGACCTTGGGCAAACTATTGGCATTCAAATGACATAAATAAGAAAGTAACGGTTAAATACACCAGGGAGCCAGGCTGCTTATTAAGGTTGTGAGGAGCAAGAGTGGCAATGGCTCTTCCAGAGTTTCACTCTGGTCTCTGTGGGGGCGATTGTGCTATTTCTTTATTTTGACACAGCTACCCCTGCCCACTCTTCCTGTTTCTCATTTTCCATATTCTTAGGTAGCTTCTTTATGTTTCATCTCACCAGTAAATTGTTTTCCCGTCAGTCCACATCAAATGCTATCACTGTGTCTCCTAAATATCTCTTATCTTCCTCTCTCTCTAAAATTTTGGTCTGATATAAACATTACTTTTTGTCCACACTGCTATATAATTATGTTCAATGAATATTTGTTGAGTGAATAAATGAATGAGAGTTTGAAATGAGTGTGGAAGAGAGGACAGAGTTCTGTCCTAGTTAAGCAATTAACTGATGAAGTAACCCTGAGCCAATTGCTGAAGACCCTACCTAATAACTCATTGAAATGGAGTTATTAACTGAAAAATGAGACAGTCAGACTAAGTGGTCTCTCTAACTCCTATAGCTCCARTATAGTCTATGATCTATATTATATAAACTCAGGAGGAAATATGTTTTTTAATCCTTCTAAAAAATAAAGAGATTGGAATGGGCAGACTTTATAATCCATATTGCAAGGCTATTTATGTGAAACCATAAAATTGTTTATAGATACCAAATAAGGAATAAGAGAATCATGATCCTAAAAGATCTCAAGAGGCATTATTGTTACCAAAAACTCAGTTCTTGACCCTGATGACAATTCAATAAAGTAGACAAGGTTTTGGGAAAAAAGGAAAAAAGAAGATTTAATACTTTGCAAACAAAAAAAAGAAACACAGAACTCCTGTCCCAGAGGCTGTGGTTCTGCCCATCAGGAAGAATGGAGAGTTCTGAAAGAGGTGATTTAAAGGCTACATTACAGGTGTGCCCTGATGGGGTTCAGAATTCATTTCTTAGATCTAGTATCATCTCTGAAGTGTGACTTACTTCATTCCTGTGATGTGTACTCACAGAAGACAACTAGGCTTAGTATAGGGAAGAAGGGTAATCCTGTTTCCCCCAAGATTAGAGAAGTGGAGAGATTAGGGAAGGGCAGGGGAGAAGAGAAAAAACATGTCCATTTAAAAATAAGTCACAACTGCAGAGGAGCAAGGGCTATATTTAAAGCATGAGTTAGACCCCTGTTACATTGTGTTTATTAGCTTTGTGTCTGTGGCCAAACACCTGAGAAAATCAACCTGAGGGAGGAAAGCTTTGTTTTGGCTCATGGTTTCAGAGGTTTCAGTCACAAGAGGTTTTATTCCATTGATTCTAGGCCTYGGTGAGGCAGAACTTCCTGGTGGGGAAGGTGTGGCAGAGGAAAGTTACCTCATACAGCCAGAAGGCGAGAAAAGCGTGAACTACTTCATTCCTGTGGTGAGTGTGTACTCACAGACACAAGTAGTAAGCCAACAGAGAACTTAAGTGCATAAGAGCCTGAGATAAGATCSACCGTAAGGGCTTTGCCTCAAGGACCCACTCTCTTTAATGAGGACCCACCTCCTATAGTTTCTAACACTTCCCAGTAGTGCTACCAAATTATGCATCCACCAATGGATGAATCCACTGATGAGGTTTGAGCCTTTATGATCCAATCACTTCCCAAAAGCCCCACATCTGAACAAAGCTGCATTAGAGACTGAGCCTTCAACACATGAGCCGTTCGGGGACATTTCAGATCCAAATCATAACAGGCATGAATGTTGATGCAAATATGTAAACCAAAGTTAATTTAAATATGAGTCAAGTTCTATATAGTTGGGTTCCTAAATTATGTAGGAATACTGAAGATATTTAGCTTAGAGAATACAGAACTCAAGGGGACACAAGTTATCTTTAAATATATGAAAGAGGTAATAGAGGTGAAAGGTAAGACCTCTCTCATTGAGTTGCATAAGGACTGAAGCTGTAGAGAGGCATATTTCATCATGGTCAGAACAGTACAAGAGGAAGAAGACTTCCTGTGGTGTAGCAGATTTCCTCTTACTGAAGTTTTGGGAACAGGAAGCGTTGTGGAAGGGACCCAAGTAGCTGGTAGATGATAAACCTAGGTAGTCCCTAAGGTCACTTTGCTTCTGAGCCCGTAAATCTGTGCTGTGATGGTGGGCCCTCAGCTCTCCCTGGCCTTCTGGCCTCAGCAGGTGCAATTGTGTGCCCACAGAGGTATAGAAAGAATGACAGAGATTATAGCCAATCGTGCTTGCTGTGATTGGGAAAACTTTTAAAACAACACCTCTTATTCTGACATGAGTGGATGTCATAGTATCCCTATTTAACACCTCAAGAAATGAGGCCTACAGTTTGTATAACTTGCTTAAGGTCAGAGTTGGAAATAGAGCTTTGTCTTCTTTCAATAAAGACTTCATTGAGCTGTAACTCACATACCATACAATTTGCCCATTCAAGGTGTCCAACAGAGTGGTTTTTAGTTTGTTCATCCCAATCAAATTTAGAAAATTTTCATCACCCAATAAAGAAATCCTGTACCTGTTAAAGAAATTAGCAGTTCATTCTTATTTCAACCCAACCTCCCAGTTCTAAATAACCAGAGATGCACTTTCTGTCTATAGATTTGCCTGTTCCAAACCTTTCATATAAAAGGAATCATATAATAATATATGGTTCTTTGTGACTATCTTTTTAAAAATAGCATGATGTTTTCAAGGTTGGTTTGTGTTTTAGCATGTATTTGCACATTATTTCTTTTTATTAATGAATAATATTTCATTGCATGATAATCCACTTATCAGTTGTTTACTTTGTTTAATCATTGATTAGTTGATGAACATTTGMGTTGTTTCCACTTTTGGGGTGATATAAGTAATGGTGCCATGAACATTTATGCACATGTGTTTCTGTGGATGTACATTTTTACTTCTCTTGGGTAGACATTTAGGAGTGGAAATGATGAATCACAAAATGTTTAACTGTTTGCAGACCTAATAATTTTCCATAGTAACTTTGTCATATTACATTTCTACCAACAGAAGGTCTCCATTTCTCTACTTGTTATATATTTAAAGTACCATCCTAGTTGGTGTGAAATAGTAATCATTCTGAATTTTCTTGATGTCAAGCATCTTTTTATGTCATTATTAACCATTGCATATCTTTGTAGGGATGGCTATTCATTCCACTGTCATATATAAATACAAATTGGATATTCATATCATTTGCAACTTCTATTTGGTTAGTTGTATTTTTATTATAGTCCTATGATAGTTCTTTTTCTCAGATATTTAAATTTTTAATTTGTTTTATATGACAGCAGAATGCATTGAAGTTCATATTACATATATACAGCACAATTTTTCATACCTCTGGTTGTACACAAAGTAGAGTCATACCATTCATGTCTTCATACATGTACTTAGAGTAATGATGTCTATCTCATTCTACCATCTTTCTTACCCCCATTCCCACTCCCGTCTATTCCCTCCCCTTTGCACTATCTAGAATTCATCTAATCCTCCCACCCCACCCCCCAATCCCATTATGAATCAGCATCCTTAAATCAAAACGTTCAACATTTGGTTTTTTGGGATGGGCTAACTTCACTTAGCATTATATTCTCCAATTCCATCCATTTACCTGAAAATGCCATGATTTTATTCTCTTTTAATGCTGAATAATATTTCATTGTGTATATATACCATATTTTTTTATCCATTCATCTACTGAGGGCCATCTAGGTTGGTTCCAAGTTTAGCTATTGTGAATTGTGCTGCTATGAACACTGATGTGGCTGTGTCCCTGTAATATGCTATTTTTAAGTCCATTGGGTATAGACCAAGGGATAGCTAGGTCAAATGGTGATTCCATTTCCAGTTTTCCAATGATTCTCCATATTGCTTTCCATATTGGCTGCACCACTTTGCAGTTCCACCAGCAGTGTATGAGTGTACCTTTTCTGCAACATGCTCGTCAACACTGATTGTTGTTTGTATTCATAATAGCTGCCATTTTGACTAGAATGAGATTTGCGTTTTTCTTTTTTTTTTGCTGATTCTTTTTTTATTAATTTTTTGTATTTATATATGACAGTGGAATGCATTACAATTCATATTATAAATATTGAGCTCAAATATTTCATATCTCTGGTTGTATACAAAGTATATTCACATTCATGTCTTCATACATGTATTTGGATAATAATATTCACCATATTCCACCATCACTTGTAACCTCATGCTCCTTCCCTTCCCCTCCCACCCCTCTGCCCTGGTTCGTCTATTCCTTCCTTGCTCCCGCTCCCTATGCCACTATGAACCAGCTTGATTTGCATTTTTCTAATTACTAGAGATGATGAACATTTTTTCATATATTTGTAGATTAATTGTATATCATCTTCTGAGAAGTGTCTGTTTAGTTTCTTGGCCCATTTATTGATTGGGTTATTTATTTTTATGGTGTTAAGATTTTTGAGTTCTTTATATATCCCAGAGATTAGTGCTCTATCTTATGTGCATGTGGTAAAAAAAAAAAATTCTCCTATTCTGTAGGCTCTCTATTCACCTCACTGTTTCTTTTGATGAGAAGTAGCTTTTCAGTTTGAATCCACCCCATTTATTAATTCTTTATTTTAATTATTGAAATATAGGAGACTTATTAAGGAAGACAGGGCCTAATCCAACATTATGGAGATTTGGCCCTACTTTTTTTTTCTAATAGGTACAGTGTCTCTGGTTTAATTCCTAGGTCCTTGATCCACTTTGAGTTCAGTTTTGTGCCTGGTGAGAGATAGGAGTTTAATTTAATTTTGTTGCATATGTATTTCCAATTTTATCAATTGATAAAATTGTTGAAGAGGCTATCTTTTCTCCAATATATGTTTTTGGCACCTTTGTGTAAGGAAAATAAAGAGGGAGAGACAGAGATAAGATGCAGAGGCAGTAAAAAAAAAAGATGGCAGAATGACCAAACTGCCAGCTTTATTTATATCAATAGTTTACTTTAAGTCATTGGCATCATTAGTACATATTGTTCATTGTATTACTAGGCAGGTTACAGACTTAGCAACATTATGCAGCTTATTCCTCAGTTACATACTAAATTGCAATGTGCAATGTTAGGAGGTTTGTGTAGCTCTCAAGAAAGTCCATTGTATAAAGTTATTGTTATGAGTACAGGTTTAGACTCAGTGAAACATTGTAGTTGTCTAACAAGAGAGTTCCTTTATTCCTAGGAGCTGTGTGCCTGAGATCAAGGTCAAGGCTAATGAGGCTCTACACAGAGCTTCTCAAGCAGGGTATTACCATATCAGCTAAACATTGAACATATATTTAGTTATTTTACTAGTTTCTAGGAGAGATTTCAGGGCAATATATGGGTGGGAAAGAGAGTATCTGTTACCCCCCTGGGAGTTTATTCACCAGGGTAACATTCCCTGTACATTTCCACAATCAGAATCCCTATACCTTTGTCTAGTATAAGATAAATGTGGTTATGTGGGTTTGTCTCTATGTCCTCTATTCTGTACCATTGGTCTACAAGTCTATTTTGGTGCCAATACCATGCTGTTTTGTTATTATTGCTCTGTAGTATAGTTTAAGGTCTGGTATAGCGATACCACCTCCTTCACTCTTCTTGCTAAGGATTGCTTTAGCTATTCTGGGTCTCTTATTTTTCCAGATGAATTTCATGACTGGTTGTCTATTTTTATAAGAATTCCATTGGGATTTTGATTGAAATTGCATTAAATCTGCATGGTCATTTTGACAATATTAATTCTGCCTATTCAAGAACAAGGTAGATCTTTCCATCTTCTAAGGTCTTCTTTGATTTTTTTCTTTAGCATTCTGAAGTTTTCATTGTAGAGGTCATTCACCTCTTTCATTAAGTTGATTCCCAAGTATTTTTTCTTTTGATGCTATTGTAAATGGAGTAGTTTTCCTTGTTTCACTTTCAGAGGATTTGTCACTGATATACAGAAATGCCTTTGATTTATGGTTGTTGATTTTATATTCTGCTACTTTGCTGAATTCATTCACTAGTTCTAGAAGTTTTCTGGTGGAATTTGTTGGGTCTTCTAGGTATAGAACCATATCATCAGCAAATTGTCCTAACTTAAGTTCTTCTTTTCCTATACATATCCCTTTAATTTCTTTCATCTAATTACCCTGCTAGTGTTTCAAGAACTATGTTAAATAGAAGTGGTGAAAGAAGGCATCCCTGTCTTTTTCCAGTTTTTAGAGGGAATGCGAACAATTTTTTTTTCCATTAAGAATGATGTTGGCCTGCAGTTTAGCATAGATAGCTTTTACAACATTGAGATATGTTCTTGTTATCCCTAATTTTTCTCGTGTTTTGAACATGAAGGAGTGCTGTATTTTGTCAAATGCTTTTTCTGCATCTATTGAGATGGTTCTTATCTTTAA